GGTCCTTGCTAGTACTTTAGTTTTCAAAGTCATCCAGCTCCTGGGTTGTGATAGTTTCACCACTGTACAGAAAACACCACATTTTGCATCATCCTCAAGTGTTGTTCACACACTCCTGCTGCCTATGTCAAGGCAATCAGTACTAGTATTAACCATTAGCCATCAAAATCAAGCCTAGAGGGAGCTCAGCTCATAACATCTCTCCAGTGTAATGCTTCCCATCCACAGCTTGGGGCTGTGGTGGACAGATAAGGGCAACTACATCTCCCATCAGCCCAGCAAGGCTTCAAGGGAGGGACAAACCCTGTCACCAGGCACAAAGCGTCTGGCTGTGATCAGCACATTCACCATGATATGTCAGAGCAACTCAACACCAGCTACCAGCAGGCAAAGCTATGATGAAGTGTTACATGCAGAGAACTTACACGTCTGCTGGTGTGGCTCCTGGGTCCCTGTCTGATTCCTGGACACCGCTGGGTCAGGATCCTCATGCTTTTCTTTACCTCGGCTCCCCATTAGCCACCCTCTAGGCTCTTGCAGCTGCTTATGGCCCCCTTCTTCCACCCAGTCGCAGTTTGATCACCTCTGCCACCGACCAATGATGCTCATTTGGTGTTTTCCCCTGCCTCTGCAGCTTTCAGCCTGTCTCAAGCCCATGAGTGCTGTCACTATGTGGCGCAGTGTAGATCTCACTTGTGCTGTTTTCTCACTTCCTTGCTGGCAGCTCTGCGGCGGGGTAGCGTATGGCCCCCAGGTGCTGAGTACCAGTGCCTGCACAAGGTGCATTACTGCTAGCAATGTGCTCCAAAAGGGCCTTTTACTGATACCATGGTCCACCACACCTTGGCTGGAAAAGGGATTTTCTTAGTGAAAGAATCCAGAGAGTCAAAATATTCCTGTAAGGTGAAGCACCACTTCACTTTTGCCTTTCGATTTGTTCCCTCCCATTTAATGTTATTCAGACGTGTTGTGAAACTGCACATTTCTCAGGGCTGAGCACAGTAGAGCTGTTACTGGCCAGACTTGTCCCTTTCTTTCCCCATCCTAGAGAAGGGACTGTGTTTGGTGGTCACTGCCCCTTCATCCTGTTTTGGCTGACTTATTTGAAAGCCTTGTTGCTGGCGTGGGATTTCATGTACCAATTCTTTTAAAATTCTGGACTTCTCAGGTTCCTCATCCTTACTGAAAGCTGTGACAAAGTAATAGGGTAGTTTTCAGGACATACCTGGACAATTTTTTTGTTTTTATCAGAACCTGTGCGAGGTGATGTTGTTTCTTTGCTTGTAATTTGTAGGTAGCTTTTCATATCTAAGGGAAGAATTTGCTAAGACACATTTGATCTTTACACTTCTTGATCTCTAAGACTTATTTCTGTTCTGCACAATCATTGTTCCTTCCCTTGTAAGCTCTGCCTGATATCCTGCTTGAGGTTGTTTCCCAGCCAAAGGAAGCCCTTCTCATGAGGTTTCCCTGTGCTGCTGCTGCAGACTGCTAACGGACAGGATAGCTCAGGTTTGATGGGCTCCTGCCAGAGATCTCAGTCTCCTCTGCCTCCCAAAGATTGCGCCGTGCTGGCTCCAGCCACCGACACATCACTGGGGGACAGGGCCTCTGGCAAGGTGAAAGAGGCACCGGTACCCCCTCCACACATGCAAGGGGGACAGGCCACCGCACTGCCCTGTGGCATCCAGGTTCTGCGGTGCCTCTGCCCTGGGTTTTTTTTTTTTCCTGGCTTTCTCATGGGAAGATGCGATGTTGTAACAGCAGATCTTGACAAAAACAGAACTAGAAGGCTGGGAGCAGAACATGTCAGTCTTATTTTTAGCATGGAAAACCTGTGAAATGGCAGTGTTAGGCTAATTGCTTCAACCTCACACGATGACCAACGCTGGCTGTTGAGACTGTTTCCCCTTTCCCCTTTCTTAGAACCACACAGGAACTGAGCCATGGCAGATAACACACTCACAGGGCTCTCTCTGCTAGAGCCCTCTGCATACTCCTGCAGCATCAACACCGAAGTGATGGGCTGTGTATCTGTGCAAGCATACTGGGGAGGGCATGGCAAAGCCTCTGCCTCCCAGCTGCCTACTGCTGTTTCAGTGCTTGCAGAGTCCCCTGGAAACTGCGGGGCAGTGCTTGCAACTGGAACAACTGCCCTGCACTGAGAAACCAAAAATGCAGAGACACTTTCAAAACCTGAAGGCAGCACCTTACTCGCTAAAACGCAGCACTCCTTGACATGTGTCCTTCACCCCTCCCAAGGAGAGGAGTGCTGCTGGAGCCCAAACCTCTGGTGAGAATTCAGATTTCAGGCCACCAAACAGCAAAATACTGTCTTATGCCAGCCCCTGCCTTTCCTGCTTAGAAGGACCAAAAATGCTAAAAGTGATGGCTACTCACTTAGAAACAAGATTCTGGATTATTTTTCCTTATTCTGAATGGCTTTTCCTTATGTTTTTTTTTTCTTTTTCTCAAGCCTAAATTTTGACTGCAGCATCAATTTGTTCATTTAAAGTTCAAACCATTGTTAGCATCTTTTTCTTTTAAAGGACAGAGATTATGACTTGCTTAAATGTTAGCAGAATGCAGTGGTCCAACCTTGCTAGCTGGAACTGCTGACAGACTGTGGCTGCTGCTCCCCACCATCATTAGCCAGACTCTTGTTCTAGGAATAGGAAAGATTTGTGGATAACCATGCCGCTGTCCTCATGGATTGCTATTCCAGTGCTGTGTGATGGCTGGTAGTTTGTTGTGGCCCAGGTGCTGATAAATCATCTGTTCCATTTACTGAGAGCCCTCAGGGAGATGAGGTTTCGTTCAGACTGAAGAAAGGCATCAGAAACCCATCATAAACATCATTATAACTTGACAAGTAAACCAGATGATAATTTTTGTCCAAGGTAATACATACACTTCCAGGTAGTCAGGAAGTTTGTTGCTCATCTTTGGGTCGCACTATAAATATCATGTTGTAAGGCAGATCTTATATCATGGTGGCTAAGTCTCCTCTCACAATCTCCAGTATAGATTTAGCGTTGGTAATAGAGGACTCTGATGTATAATGGTAATAAATTAATATTTGTTTATAGATATATATTACTATGAGATAGCTTTATTTTCACTTGAAAAATAATGTTTCCTTTGGGTTTTTTTGTAGCATTCAGTAAAAACAACAACAAAAAATTACTTAACAATGACAGAGGTTGTGAAGTCAATAAATTTCCACTTTACAGTAAGAAAAGGGAACACTTCATTTTTTATATTTAGCACATGAATGGTGGGAGACCTCAGTTTGCTTCCTACAAGAAAAAAGCATTCATTTCATACAGCTCTGTATACAGTAAGCTTGGCTATGTATAGGAATGCCAACTCCAAATTTTTTAGCACAGCTGTGGTACTGGTTTTGGCACTGGCAGCGAGTGAGCAAGCAGCTATGTGGTACTTAGCTGCTAACCAGGGTGAAACCATGGCAGCTGTTGAGTTTAACAGAGTGCCTTGTCTGTGATCCTTCCTTGGTTTAAAAACTATAGGCTTGGGTAGGAAAAAAGTGCTCTGAAATTCTTTGGTTACAAAACAGTAGCAAATGGCATCCCAACAGCAGTTAGTATTTGCTATACTGCAAGGCCTGTACATGAAGCCACATGAACAACAGTGTTTCTGTTTTCTATTTCAGAGTAGACGTCCTAACTGGAGCCCATTTTAAATTGGACAAGGTGCCTGCCCCATGTTAACAAGAAGAAAACATGAATACGCCTGGGTTTGCAAAAAAAGTAAGTTGTTTGCTTTCTGGATTAACAGTAGGATAACAGGTTGATATTAATCAACCATCATTTTTTTTTTTTCAAAATAGTAAAAATTTTCGTAACAGTCTGTTTAGAGCAGACATTCATTATGTTCAATGAGATACAAAATCCCAGAAGGGGATCCCAGAGCCACAAATGTTTTTGAAGGCCCTCTGTGCTGTTTCTGAAAACAGAAGTCTTTTTTTTCTTGCTGAACACCGCTTGCCTAGGCGTGTAAGTGATTCCTGTCATGAAGACTGATAGCACACCATAAAGGAGAATGGGCTAACAGGGACCCCTGCCTCTTGCTCTCTGAGGATAGTTAACTGCAGTGTATTTGTTGACAGCTACAAGGGTGACAACACTCACGCATCTCCTTAAGCAATAAGTGTTTTTTGAGATCAGGAACTATTTGTCTTTATCTTTTCCTGTCTTTGAAAAGAGACTTTAAAAGGCAGAATGAGGGTCAAGCAACAGTGTGCAATGATTAAGTTGGTCACATCCACACATGGCCTATTTGCTCTGCTTGCAGGGAAACACCAGTGATGCCAGAGCATTAAATAATACATCAAAGAAGAAAATTGGGCCATAAATGGTCAACTGAATGACCTGAGTAGTTTCATCCATTTTTATGCCGCAGTTGCTCACTGCAGCTTCCATCATGCTGGAATCTCTGCCAGTATTGACACAAAGCAGGTAGACCTAATGTTTGGATGGGGAGTACTTTCTGTGATGTTTCCTATGTTTGGCCAGTGTCTAGACAGTGGTTTCAGCATGTGGTCTGCAGACACTAGAAGGTGACAGGCTACTTGCAGGGAACTACTTGTAAGTTGTCACTAAGAAGGTTAATTGTCTGTAGGTTTAAATGAGCAGAATGTGGGTTTACATTCCCTGGAGGAATTTTTGAGGCATTTAAAAGTCAGAAGACACTGAAAGTCACAGACCATGAAGCCCAGTGAGATACAGCTATCGCACACATTTTGAAAACTGTACAACGTTTCCCACACTAATGTTAAGTTATTGAAGTGACTACATGATAAAATGTTAGATGAAATGTCTGCGCAGATAAACATGAAGTAGTCACGCCCTGGCACTGGCTCCCCTCTCAGTCCAGGTTTCTCTATGGGTTGCTTCCTTCCAATACCCCAAGACATCCCCTTGTGGCTTCACTGTTTTGAGCTGCCCTGTTGTTACTTTCCTCTGGGGTGGGAGGATATGTCATGCATAGTCAGCAAGCACAGGTATTAGAGAGGAATTTTGTACCTGGAAAGCGAGACATTGAGATGGAGTCTGGTCTGGGATACAGGTGAAATAGATCAAGGCTCTCAGTATAATGCATGGCGCTAAATGTCTCCAAGTGAGGTGCAGAAAAGCTGCTGCACCCTCATTAAATTACAGCAACAAACCTGTCACCAGGGCTTACAGTAGTTGCTTGAGGGAGATTGGGTCTTCACAGCTTTATACTTGATATGCACAGTGCTAAGGCTCTGTTCAGTGGTCCACAATGCTTTGCATAGCTCGGTTTTTCCATGCAGTAATGGCTTAATTTAAACCTATAATTATTTCAGTCTTGCAAATGCCAGGGCGTTGCCACAAGCTAATACAGGTGTTATACGGCAGGAACAGGGTGATGGTCACACGCCACTGTCTGACCCCTGCAGTTTATGCCACGCACAGCAGTAGATGCCTCCTGGCAATAGCTGCAAGCTTTGAAATTATATAGGTTGACAGGAAACTACCACTGTCCAGGCAAATTCTTTGATGTGAGCAGCATGGATGAATCAGGTTTGGCATTGTCGTGCAGGGGCTTTTTCTTACTTTTAAGTGACCATACATATTACAGTGCTACAAGTGGATTTGTGTATTGCTGTAAGGGTGCTCGGGTTCCTCTGTTTAGCTGCATGATATGTACATATAAGCGCACAGCAGAAACAATGGCCTTATCATCCATTCTCCATAACATGTGCCTCTCCCTCTTGACCAGGAGACGCCCGAAGCTGTGGTAAAATGATCCAAGGTAATAGTCAGAACTGGAGTAAAGTCACTGAGGACAGAAGGACAAAATTCAAGTTAATATCTAAGCCCTTGGAGGGTGTTGCCCCTTTTTGCAGGTATGCCTGTACCTACAATGAGTGCAAATACTGTAGGTGGTCCCATTACCTCTGCCTCAAAATTTCAGTAGCACTGTGGCTCTTCACCCCTATAGTGTACTATACCTTGCTTATGTCATTACTTGATCTGTGGGTGGCTGTGACTCTTGGCTTTGGTTCATCTTGGATCTCCTTGATATACAAGTAGGGAACAGAAAAGGAAATTCCTGAAATTCCTCAGCTGCAAAATAATAGCAAAATGCATCCAAACAGCAGTTAGAATTTGCTAGGCATGCACAGATCTGAACAGATGCTCTAACTTCCGAGAGCAGAGAACAAGCTTCAGCAACATCCACTGCAAACCGCAAGAGCAGTGCGATGTAGAAAGGTGAAAAACATACAATGAAAACACACATATTCACAGAAACAATGTGGATTGCTTTCTGGATTAACTTTGTCTCGTGAGAGGTCGTGGCCATATTCTTTTTGAGACATTTGATGATTTGTACTGAGCAAAAAATCACAATCCCTAAGGGAATAAAATACCAAAAGATGATGGAGAATAGCAGTGAATAATTAGGTTGAATAGATTGTTTCCGAAGGCAGAATTTTTCCTCTTTTTCCTCAGATTTTGGACGCAGGTAAGAATACATTATTACTGTTATCCAAAGAAACCCACAGATAGAAGCAGATTTCAATGGGGATCGAAGAACCTTTGCTTTTAGAGGGAACTTGATTGCAATGTATCGATCAATGGCAATTAGGGTGATGATAAGGATGCTCATAGGCATGTTTGTAAAATAGATGTTCAGGATGGTAGAACACAGCTTGTCTATGGGATGGTCGTACTTGGTGAAGTATATCAGGAAAGGCAGGGCAAAGAGCAGGAAACTGTCTGCGACCATGAGGTTGATCATGTACACCCTGGTCTCAGTCCACTTCTTGAGTTTGCAGCAGAAGACCCAGAAGGCCATCGTGTTAAGTGGGATCCCCAAAGAGAGCACTGGGATGTAGACAATCAGTTGAAATAGTGCTGTGCGGTTCTGCAGCGTGTCGTTGTCATTGGTGCAGTTCTTCATGGTGGGATGTCTCTGCAAGAAAAGGCTGCGGGCATGAGATCGAGCCGAGCTGGGCTGAGTCCTGCTGCAGTGGCCTTGCTCTCATGGCTCTGTGGCCCCTCACACCCCTGCACTGCATATGTAGGCAGCCCCTGGAAGGACTCAGTAGCTCATCAGCACCATCTGTCCCGAAGCCATCAAAGTAACAGTCACCTGCCACCAGCTAACACAAAAAACACAGAGGCAACCCTCTCTTGCAGCTGTTATGCGGTTAAGCCTGCCTTGCCCTCCATCCAGTCCTGGTTTGCACAATTTGGATAATAGCAAATGGTCTGCAAACCAGAATTACAATCTTTGTGGTCCCTTATCCTTGCTGCCACTGTGGTTATCAGAGAGCCACTGGCTTTAGGGCAGCCCAAAGCAGAGCTGGGCAGCTGTCGTGGTTTAACCCCAGCCACCACTAAGCACCACAGAGCCACTTGCTCCACCCCACCCACCTCCCCGCCCCCTCCACCTGCTGTGGGATATGGGAGACAACTGGAAGTATAGAAGTGAGAAAACTTGTGAATTGAGATAAAGGCAGTTTAACAGGTAAAGGAAAAGCTGCATGCAAGCAAATCAAATCGGGGAATTAATTCATCACTTCCCATGGGCAGGCAGGTGTTCAGCCATCCCCAGGAACGCAGGGCTCCATCATGCATAACAGTGACTTGGGAAGACAAACACCATCAGTCAGAATGTCCCCCCTTCCTTCTTCTTCCCCTGGCTTTATATGCTGAGCAGGATGCCATATGGTATGGAATATCCCTTTGGCCAGGTGGGGTCAGCTGTCCCAGCTGTGTCCCCTCCCAACTCCTTGTGCACCCCCAGTCGGCTCAGTGGTGGGGTGGGGTGGGGAGCAGAACAGCCCTTGGCTCTGTGTGAGCCCTGCTCAGCAATAATGAAAATATCCTTGTGTTATCAACACTGTTTTCAGCATAAATCCAGACCAGAGCCCCAGACCAGCTACTGTGAAGAACATTAACTCTATCCTAGCTCAAACCACCCCAGCAGCATTTCCCCTTTGCCCTCCAAGGCCCTTCCTCTGTGCTGAAGCCTCGCCATGGGTTTGCTCTGGGTCCTGCCAGGCCTGTGAACCTCCACAGGAGTTGAGCCCCTCCAGCTGTAAGGCAGCTCAGGTGGCTTTACTCATGGGGTGGTGGGAACGCTGCTACAGGCTGTTGGGGGGCGTCTGCTGTGTGCAGGCTGCCCCAAGCATGAACCTGCTCCTCTCGCTGCAGGGTACTGGGGTGGAACAGCTCAGTGTGGGTACCACCAGCCCCAGCAGATAAGAGGTCTCTAAGAGAGCAAGGAAAGTGAGCACATGTGTCTGATCTCAGCCTTCAAAGACAGGAAGCCAAAATGTTGCTAGAGCCGAAAACGTGAATCCAAGAACACAGACTATCTCCTGGTATTCCTTTAAACATTTCAGGGCATCTGCTACCAGCAAGCTGGCTGGGGGGCTGTGGAGGATGAATCAGACTTAGTCTGCAGCTCAATAAAGGAAATGTTTACAGTGAGGCGGGAAAGGAAAACGCCTAGATTCCTACAATCTCTTATAAATACATTGCCTTATAAGTCAGTGGCTTCTAAGCATCAACATCTAAACTGTAGTAAAAACGTCCAATTGCATGAACTAAGCAAAGTGAACTGTTCTTAGTGTTCGAGAGTGGGAGACGGACCTGGCAACCGTGGTGGAAAATGCAGCACCTGCCCTGGCACCAGAACTGCAATACTGAAGCATACAGGATACAGTCATTTTTAGGGTGGAATTGATGGAGGAACTAACATCCAGCTGGTATCCTAGCTCTCTCTCGGGCTTTCAGCCTCACAGGTCTTTGCCTGCACAGTGGTACCCCCTACCCTGAAGCCATTCCCTGCCAGCCTACCGTGGTCATCCAGCAGTGAAAAAGACACTTTCTCATGCATAGCACTGCCCTGAGGAGCAGCTGAGCCCACAGGGCTGGACTGGGCTTCCCAGCCCTATTGAACCTCCCGTGTGAGCACAGAGCTGGCGGTGGTTCCCAAGGTCCTGCACTGCAGCATGCCCGGAGCCAGGTGCATCCCCGCTAGCAGAAGAGATGCAGTAAGAAGCACTGGTGTGAAACTGTAGTGAGAGATGAAGACCCCCCTGAATGACACATGTGGCTGCAAAACAGTGAGGCATCACTGCTGTGAAAGCAGGAGGAAACCGAGGCATCAGCTAAGAGGTGAGGAGGCATACCCTGAAGTACTGAGCAGAGCACACTGCCACACACCGGTGTACGAAGAATTAAAAGACATTACCTGCTTCTTGTGTGGCCGTGGGGTGGGTTTAGTCCTCAGAAAGTTTGCAGTGTGGATGGAGGTGTCCTGGCAGGGGAGGAGGTCTGCTGGGGCCACGGCTGGTGTGGAGCGTGCTGCTCTGTGCAGGGCACAGCTGCCTAGGAGCCTGGAGTCGAGAGCTCAGGAGCGCTGAAACACCGCAATGAACTCTTGTTCCCCAAAAGTGTTTCGTTTATCAGCTACTTTTTGGGATGGTCGTGTCTCTGGTGCCCTCTGTTGTTCTACTCACATCAGCTCAATGCTTCACCATCACTTCTTCCACCCAGTCTGCACTCACCCCTCACACAAACAGGCAATTAAAATTTAATATTTTCAGTTGCGGGAAAACAAATAATTTCTGAAATAAAACCCATAATGGTTGCAAATTGCCTTCCTGGCAGCAAAAAGTCCCTCTGGGAGCACAGCAGCCCACGCAGCCTCTGGTGGGGTTGCAGAGTGTGCCCCAGGCAGGCAGCAGTGTGGGGGACAATGGCCTTTCCGAGGGGGCACCTCATTGCTCAAGCGCTCTGTGACAGTGAGCCCAGGGCGATGGGACCCAGCATGCTTCTCTTTGGTCTCTTTAGGAGAAAGGTGACAGAAGTTACGAGCCTGCTTGTCCTCTGTGAAGCAGCCGGCTGTCTAACACTGCTCATCAGCATCTCTGGAAAGCCCACACTGATAATGACAGTCACTGCCAACCGGGCACGGGCGTGAGATACCAGTGTGGCAGTGAGCATGCCATAGGTGTCAGGACCCTTAGAAACTTGTTTAGGGACATGCCCCAGTGGTATTTTGTAGTCATTCTGATGGCTTCTGCTGTCTGTTGGCTGCAGCAGTTGCAGTCCCATCCATGTGAGACAGCTGATGGGAGCCAGCCCCTGAGTCCCTCAGGATTTGTCCCATTAATTCATGTCTCCTGAGCTCACGGTCCCAAAGGTGACAACAGCAGATTGAGCAGCAGCCGTGGGCTCCCTGAAGGCAGATGTAGGTCACAGGTGAAACTGCACAAGTGGGCAGGAAAGACACTGTCTCCTGGAGCGCTCTGAGCATTGCCTGGGTAGAGCTCAGAGGCCATTTAGGAGATTTTTCAGTATTTAGAAAGAAAAAAGCCCAGTCCTGGGGAGCATTTGAATAACAGGTAGGGGGCCAACTCACTCCCCTTCTCCCCTGACTTTTCTAGGCTGCTGACTCATGGACAATGCATTCCCCCCATGGAAACACTGGGGGTGTCAATGTGGGCAGCCTGTGGAAACCCAGACCCAGCTGTGTCCAGCTGTGGGGTAACACTCTGACCCTGACCTGCATCTGGGAGGGTGAACATGAGGGCCAGCCTGGTGCCACAACATAAACCCAGGGAATAGCAACGCAGAGGTGGCAAAGGTCTAGACAGAGTTAGAAGGGCATCCCTGGGGGTGGGAGCAGCAGCCCCTCAGGGACAGGGACGGAGGGACAGCTGCTGTAAGGATGGGTCTGTGCCAGTGCTCAGCAGTGCAGCAGGAGGGGAGCTGGCAGGAGGACTCAGCTCTGAAATCTTCTGGACTTTGTGCCTTTATGGAACTGGACAAGTCTTGCTTTCATCCTAAAAGTCTTCTTTCACAGGTATCTGACCCTCTGACTGGAAGGGGAAGGGCAGTCAGGCTGTGGTGTAGGGCCACGTATTTCATAATAGGCTGGTACCGCCTGACCACAGCCCACCAAAGGAATACAATAAAAATAAACTGGATTATTTTAATAGTGCAAACAACCTGAAATATGAAATGAGGTAAAACATTATCTATTATTTTGTATGTGTTGGCAATAAGGATCCATTGACTTTAGCTGCAAAATGAACTAAAATAGGGAGACATCATGGCTCTTCTGCCTTCCCGTCAGAGTAACAAGTAGGTTTTGGTGGTTGGAAGGGAGACATGTTGGCGACCAGTCGTTACAAACACACTTTTACACAACTCTGTGAAATAACTTATTTGTTTAATACAAGCATAGAGTATAAATCACAATTAACTTAATAATGCTAAACCTAACAAAGATCTCCCCAGAGAGAAAGAACGATGGTTATCCCAATGACACTGGAGCTGTATCTGCTCTTACTGTTACAGAGCTGTTGTGGGCTTTTTTGAGTTTGGTGTTCTTTGTCCCACCCCTTGTGCCCTCTTCCTTTAGCAAGCGTGTGTCTGCAAGGAGTGGGTTTGATCTGTTTTTTCAGTACTGGATTTGGGCAGTAGAAGGGCTTCTTGGAACTCCTTGGTCACAAAGTAGTAGCAGATGCTATCCAGGCAGCAGTTGGATGTGGCAATACACCTCGTCACGGAAGAGAAGTTCTTCATAACCTGGATCAGGAAACAGGTAGCTCCAACGCTCTCCATTATGAACCTGGCAAGTACCCCAAAGTAGGCTGGCAGAAAACATATTAGAAATACAAACAGATTTGCATAAATAATGTAAATAGCTTTCTGGATTAATTTCTCCTCTGGTGAATTTGTGTTCAGACGTCTCTTAAGGTTCCTGATGACTTCTGTGGAGCAAAAAGTCAACATTGCTAATGGAAGAGTAAAAACAAAGAAAATGGAAAGCAGGTTCAGAGTAGCAGATGTGGTGGTATCCTTCTGAAAGCACAGAGCAGCGTGTCTCTGCCGAAGCTGTAAGGTGGCACCGATTATGATGGAGACCCACAGAAGCCC